ATGGACTAAATCAATTGAAATACCTCCAGAAGAAAAACCAAAAATGTAATAGTGAAACTAGTGAAAGGAAGACAATGTACATATCCACACAGAGAAAATTGTCTCACGTATATGTATATATCCACACAGTATTAACCATTCAATTTTTTGTTCATACATTAAAGGAATGATAATGCTTGACATATATGTATATATCCTTTTTTGACTAATGTAAATTTCATACCTATCAATGGTTAAATATATATATATTTTTATTGTGATTGTCAACACAATCCACAGAGAGAAAATTGTCTGCAGAAATTTCTCTGGTATGATATTACCAGAAATTCACAGAGAAATTTAACTCGTATCGTCCCAAGGGGATGCCTATATGATCATGTAATCTGTAATGCTTTGTGTTGGTACAAAACAATCATCAAACTCAACAAAACACAAAGTGCACAGTCATTTTCTCTGCTACTGGAAAATTTCACTGGATGAATTTGAAGTTTCAAAACACAATGCCCAGATAAATTTCTCTGCTAGTGGAAAATTTCTCTGGATGAAATTGACGGATTCGAATGGTGACAGAAAATGGAATTTCTGAGTTGTGAATTTCTCTGGGTTGAGTGATTTGGAGAGGAGGAATTTCTCTAGGTTGGTGAGGAAAATTTCTCTGGCTTTGAGAAAAATTTATGAGTTGAAGTGATTCTAGATAAATTCATCCCTGGTCTAGAGAAATTCTCAACTCAGATAAATTTCAAAAGAGCTTAATTTTGTTTCTTGGTTGTACTCAGTGCAATAATTTTGTGTATGCTCTGTCTGGTGTGCACATTTCTTGAAGTGAGTCTAGAAAAATTCTTCTCTGATAAGAATTTCTCTGTGAAGTCTAGAGAAATTCTCTAGATTTCTCTAGTTTAAACTTAGAGAAATTTCAACAAACACAATGCACACTGTAATTTTCAATGCTATTGGAAAATTTCTCTGGATAAATTGAACCTCACAAAACACAATGCACATTTCAACAAACACAATGCCCATAGTAAATTTCTCTTCTACTAGCAAACTTCTATGGATAAATTTGACCGATATAAAGTTACTAGAAATTCACAGAGAAATTTAACTTACATCGTGCCAAAGAAGGTGCCTATATCATCATGCAATTTGTAACGCACTGTGTTAGTACAAAACAATTATCAAATTCAAAAAACACAATCCACACAGTACTTTTCTCTGCCATTGTCAAATTTATGTGGATGAATTTGAAGCTTCAAAACACAATACACAGAGAATTTTCTCTACCATAGGAAAATTTCTCTGGATGAATTTGACAGGTATTACAAACCCATGGCCTATAGTATATATCAACAAACACAATGCACATTTTAACTGATATTGGAAAATTTCTCTGGATGAATTTGATTGATATTATTATATACACTGTCTAAAAAATACATTTCACAAAACAAAATACACAAAGTAATCATCAAATGTATTATTCAATCAATAAAATATATTATCCTCAACTATTTAACAAAGGTTCCTTGCATGCCCTCTTATTATGGCGACCAATACTCTCACAATGACTACACTTAATCACCCTTTTAAACTCTCCAATAGAAGCAATTTTGTTCTTCTTTGGCCTCCCAGCTGGTCTCTTGCTCAATGGAGGTAAAATCATAGCATCTTCAATACTACACACAGGTTTTTCAACAGTTGGAACTGGACCAATCGAAAACGAGTATGCTTGACGATACATATCAGCATGAAAAAATGGTTTAACAAATGAATTCAAATTATTTTCACTCCTAAAAATTACAGCAACAGTATGTTGACATGGATACCCATTTATTTCCCATTTTCGACATGAACAAGTTCTCAACCCAAGATCAACCATAACCGAAGGAAAACAATGCACTTCAAAGACATTATCAGATGATAAACTCACATTCCATGTCCTCCCATCCAAAAAAGACTTCTCCAATACACTATCCATACGAGGACACAAAACTTTATTCCATTTACTAGAGAGTAGCCTCCTATCAGACCTCATGTTCATGATTTGCAACCATGTCATGTCCACCAAATTTGTTATTGGCAAGTGCCGAGCTTCTCGTATCCATGAATTGAATGACTCTGCAACATTTGAATACATCTCACCATAACGTTTTCCCGCAAAATATGCATCACTCTAATTTTCATATGGTAAACTTCTCAAGAAAACACTCACAATGTCTGCTTCCTCACTTTTTAGTTCATTTAACTTGAAATGAAATGATGCCTTTGTTAGCGTATATGCATATTCTGAAAACTTAGACATAATCGTCTCCCCAACCAAATTTGTGTTTCCACATGACAACTTATCCCTCAAATTTCTCTTTTGATGTTCAAGACAAAATCCATGAAAGCAGTTAGGGAAAAACCTAGCAATTCCTTCCACAATACCACAATGTCGATCTGATATGAAACTTATCACCCTTTCTGATCCCAATAGTCCATATAAATGTTCAAGGAACCAACACCAATTGTCTTTATTCTCAGCATCAACAACAGCAAAAGCTATAGGAAAAAAACCTACAAAACAAATAGGAACAAGCATATTAGATATACACATGCAGAGAAAATTAGAACAATAAACAACCACAGAAATTTGACACTGCCAACATCCAGCGAAAATTCACTTAGTGCCCAACTCCAGAGAAAATTCACATAGGCAACATCCAGAGAAAATTGACTTAGTGACCAACTACGAAGAAAATTCACACAATCAGAATATCCAGAGAAAATTCACTTAGTGACCAACTACAGATACAATCCACACAATGACAACATCCACTACAGGAAATTCGATTTTCAGCGGCGTTTTTAAAACGCCGCGAAAAGCCTGAAAAACGCCGTAAAACGTAATAGCGACGTTTTAAATTTTCGTCATTGATACGGCCGCCGCAATAGGTTTGCAGCGTTTGAAAAACGTTGCTAAAAATATAAGACGGCGTTTTTTAAAACGCCACAAAAATGTTGACGTCCGCTTCTCTTACCGTCACAAACTAACATGTGACGTGTGCATGACGTCATGTAGTGGCGTTTTTTCAAAAACGCCACCTTTTTTTTGTGTGTGTGTGTGTTTTTTTTTTTCGCTCCATATTATTATTAATAAATATCAATATTTTGTCCAAAGCTTACCATTTCAGAAAATATGCATTATAATGAATCTGAAAAAACAAATCTTCCACCAGACTAAGCCAAATACATTATAATGAAATCCAAAAAAATAAAATTCAAATTCACACTCCAGATACTTCAAATACCACATGAAATTAGGCAACAATCTACACAAATCATTCAATTTCAAAGCCATATTACTCATCTATGATATATACACACTTATAACTTGGTAATTATATATGCATACCAATAGTTAATAGAACTGTATCTAAACAACCAATACATCAAACAGTACATAGAGAAGCAGAAGGCAGATCATTAAATGTCAGAAAGTCTTGATAATTGTATTGAAATATCAACTCTAAAATCACAAGTTTTCATTTCAATTTTGACTAAATCTGATCACGTCTTCTTGGGTCAAGAGAATTCACAGCTGTTGTGAGTTGTGGGAGATTCTTGCAGTTTTCTTCTTGAATTGGACTTTATTGGTACCACAAGATTCTGAGCACCTGAGAGGATGAGATCAACGGCTTCCAACAAGCTACAAAACAACAATGAAACATAAATAATGCTTAATTTTTATTTGTATAATATATACATTCAAATTGACTTATTTCTTGTACCATTTCTTCAACTATATAGAACACTAAATGGGTTGGCAACAAACTAGGCAGGCAAAACACATTCTGTGATATAAGCAAGAATCAGAAACCAACTTAAATAAATAAAAATAAAAATGATCACAGGTTGTTGGTTCATGTTGGGCCAACTCCAAGAAATCTTGTTGAGGCAGAGCTCTAACCTCAAGTGACCGACATCATATACTTTGGCACTCATAATATAATCATAGAGTGTGCCATTACACAGATTAAACAGAGATATTTAACCAAATATGAAATCCACAGCAAATTTCGGAAAAGTAGCACTCAAATATATTATTTTAAACATACATTCCACATAAGCAAAAACACCTAAGAAGAAGAATGCCTTAATCAAGTTAAATTGAAATTCTGGGCAATGAAAACTATGATAACTTGCTTTAACTATTTATTTACATTTGCCTTCCCATATAAATATAAGCTTTTGATTATCATTATTTTTTAGTACATTTCAAGAAAAAGATTCCATTCATTCACAAAAAAATATATATATATCTATCTATCTATAATATTATAAAGTGAACAGGAACTTTGGTGTCCTGAAGCTTTACTCTCCTCATGCCATGTGGTAGTATTTTTTTTTTTAAAAAAAAAAGTTAAACAAAGAGATGGGCAAGGCTTGAACCCATGATCATGGGTTTAAGTACGAGGACTCATACCACTTAAGCTAAGTACACATTATAATATTAATTCCATTATTATTTTTTTTTATTCCTACTTATTTAAATTGCACACACATCGTGTGTGCCACCCACTAGTATACATACAATTATACACAAGACACAGAGAGAAACATTGAAATTGATTATTCTCTTTGCAAATATACTAAAATTATTGCACTTGCTTGTCCTATTGTGATGACAGATTTTAAAAACCAAAAGTATTCTTCACTTTCAACCCATACCTCTCCATATAAATTATTGCACTTGCTTGTCCTATTGTAGTTTGTTGACAATTAATGACCTGAAACCTAATCAGTGATCACCATTGTGAATGGTCAGGATTGCACAAGGTTAATCTAAACTCAGGAACATCCCATTTGAAAGTAAGGGAGTCTTTTACCCCCAACAAACTTAAAAGTCATTTCAAAATAGCAAAAATATTAAAGAAAAGATACAAGATAAGATAAGATTAGGAACATGAGGCTGAAAATTTAGAGCTAGAATAATCAATAGAAGAAAAGCTTATGAACAATTCTAACCTTGAATTTAGTAGACTCCAACGGCCTTCTTTCATTGAATTTGTCATATCTACTTCTTCTTCTTCTTCTTTCCTTTCTTTGATATGTGAACCTACATTTGATAAGAACAAATAACATGAATAAAATGTCTTATTGAAAATTTCATAATTAACTATTTACTCACCTCCTCAGACGAACGATGACAATTAAACGATGAAGTGTATGCATGAGATTGTTGTTGTGAATGCACATTTGTAGAAGCTGGTGCAACAGGCCCACCTATGGCCTGTTGAGACTCGAATTGCTCTATTCGTGCTTGTTGAGCTTGGATTGTAAGTACCAAATTTGGCAGTAAAAGTAGAATGCTGTAATGATCAATTCACCCTTGTCTACCCATAAGATTTAGGGGCTTTAGAAGATAAAAGGATGGATCACATACAATGAGAAACAAATGGAAAGGGTAGAATGTATCAAAATCTATAATCCTAAACTGATTTATGAGCAGCAAGTATCAATATCATAATTATAATTCTACAGATATATCATAATTAATTTACTGAAATATATCTAACCTTTTGTGGTGGACTCTATACCAGTAGAAATGTGTGCATTTCTTTGTGCTTGAGGATGCAAGTCTCAGGCCTGCCGCTAAAGCAACTAAAGAGGTCAGCAAGTGCATTGCGAGATCTGCACATTCAGATCTCACATGTTATAACTTTTCTTCTAAAATACCCAAAAAGGAAAGAAATGGAAGACAAAATTCCCATCAAACTAAGCAGAAGTAAAGCCAAGTAGTTATGTCAAGCAGAAAACAAAAATAAATAAATAAATATATTCAAAAGGAAGAGGCATAACCATGTGTCTTTTGCAATACAACATCAAGTTCAGATGAATTTAGAAGCTAGTAAGACCATCTATTTGGCCAGTTTACTGAGTCTGGGTTGACAGTTTTTTCTATCCACAAAATCAACCCAATGCAAAAAAAAAAAAAAAAACTGCAGTTTAATTGATGGATCACAATCTGTGGTCATAAGCCAGAATAACCAATCATGTAGTAGCTTACAATTGGGCTACACATACAGTGGATCTATTCAGCGCATGAGGCAGCTAAATGCCAGGTACAATTACTTTCAAGCCCCAGGAGAGACCTTATAGGGGGGAGGTTGACCAAAGCAATGCAACATGTGACCAGTTAGGTTACAACACACAACTGGCTAGAATTATTTTGAAGCTAAGAAGTACGGATACGTACAGATATGGATATGGTGGGGATACGACAATTTTTTATTTTATTTTATTTATTTACCATGTAAAAGAATATAAATGTAGGATATGCAATGTGGGTGTATTTTTAATTTTTAATTTTTATATTTTTCTTTTCTTTGTTTGACCCCAAATCAGCTTTCTAAAATTATTAATAAAAGAAAACTACAAAGGTGTCCTAAAAAAATTAATTTAAAAAATTGACAAACCGAGTAGCATACTTGTGCGAAAATGCCACAATAAAGTATATCCCATGTGAAATCATAGAACTCAATTTCAATGCCCCATATTGTTTCCCAAACACCCAACATAAATGTAGTGGACCCTATTGTTAAAGCCAATCACAATAGTAGAAGGTACCACATAGCATATACGTTATCCACATACAAAAATTACTTCAATACAAGGGTTTATAACTATAAATTTCAACAATTTATACATACACGGGAAAAAAGAAAAATAAATAAATAAGTAAAGAAAAAATAAAGAAAAGAAAAAGGCCATTACCTATTGTTCATACCATCTAAAGTGAGGAAGGCATGTCAACCACCAAAGCCAGCAATGATTCAAATAAATCTGCAATTGGTCTCATCTTTCTTCTTTATGGCATAGTTGTAAGTGTGCAAGAGGGGCTTCTAAAAATTGCTAGTATCTCTGACCTATTAGAAGAACCTTTGCAACATTATATGTGCTAGGAGTCAGAGTAAGTATTGATCTTCCTAAAAGCCACTTGTAAGGGCCTGTTATGAGAAGATTACTATTACCTAACCGTCAAGAGATGGAAAATCAGGGGAACCTTCTCTTCTAGTACCACTGAAGCAGTGGAAGGATCATTAAAAATACAAAATCGAGAGAAACGGTAAAGCTGAGAAACAAAGAGACCATGACCTTACTGATTGCTGATGTGGATTTCCTCAGTTAAAAGATGAATGTTGTCCTCACTGTGTCAACACTGGCACAGATACAAGCATCCCTCAAAGTTGAAAGAAGTGAAATTTCGCCTCTTCACATGTTTTGAGCAGGCAGCTGCAGTAACATATGAATGCAAATAAACATCAATGAGCAGTACCTGCTCCTTGAATTTTGTTGAGTCGCCTCTGCTAATCGTGCACTTTTGTTACTCAAAAATGGAAGTGCTCTTTCCCGACTGAAAGTTGTAAGGTAACTTGATATTTATAAGGTTATATTTAGGGCATCTTGCCAAAGCACAGCCACTCAACAAAACAGTCAACTCAGCATTGGCCTATGATAAAAACATTCATCTTGAATCTCAAAACTGAACTTTGCCACTGTCTCATCTTTATGTCATATGCTCAGACTGCTTGCAAGCATGCCTACCAAGTGAGATTCATGTATACTATTTGGTGGGGCGGCATGCCGAATATGATAATGTAGGGAATGGGTGTTTTCATGGGATTCTCTCCTTTCCTCTCCCCTGCGGCCTGCCAATACCTGCACTTAGCAAAAATGCCTATTTTTGAGTGACTTTTGTAGCTCCTCTTTTTAAAGTACTTTCCTAGTTTTTATTAGTTAATATCAATGCAATGATTGAATTTGAAAGTAAGAAAAGTGTTTTGGAAATGATAACAGACATAACTGTGCCTAGTGTCATGTAAGAAAGTATTGTCATTGAGATGCTAGCAGTTACATGTTTCAATGAAGATCCAACAGTTTAACTAGCATTTTTAAAGCACTTACCTAGGTTTTAGGAGTTTACAACAGCAATACCATTTGAATTTGAAAGCAAGAAAAGTGTTTTGGAAATGCTAACATTAGTGTTGCTTGTGTTATATAAGAAAGTAAAGCATTGGAAGGGCCTAACAATGAACATGTCCCTCTGTCTCACCAATTATAATCATACAATTTGATTTTTTTTTAAAATTAATTTAAAGGAAAAATTATAAATATGGTTTGTGTAACTTGTCTATCGTGTCAATTTGGGTTCTAATTCTATTCAATTTTTCCTTTACTTTTTTACATTATGTTAATTTAGTTTAATTAATAATATTTGTTAAGTAATTGAACAGAAATTAAGGGTAAAATAGTTCACTCAAAAGGAAATGGACCATTTAAGTAGAGTGAATGGATTACTTTGCTGCTTCATTTCATTGCAATTTCTAAACATGCATTATGGATTAAACTAAATTGACATAATGTGAAAAATTCAACTTAGAGTTGATTCAATTAAAACTACAAAAAAACAAAAGCCAATCCTACAAAAACTACATGTATAATTTTCCCTCAGCTAAAAATCAAATCATGTAACTCATAAGATATGAAATTTTAGTACTTCAATGTACTTCTACCAGCCACTTCTAAAGCATCCAAATAAACATATATAGCAGCAATGTATATATATACATATATCAATTGATCAGAAACAGCAGAAACCACTCATGATCTGGTTGTTTTGAACTTATGTAGAGAAAATTGGATAAAAATATTTAACATTAAACTATTTTGAGATGGTAGGTATACACCTTTATAGATAGTAAAAGAAAACAAATTTTATAACTAAAGATTTAAGTTGAGGGTGTTGAGTACAGGGTTCACAATTCAGGTCCGGATCAGATCCAAACGCCTCATGCCATCATCGTAGTCTAAACAATACCAGATATATCTCAATTCTCTTAATGAGGCACAAATATGCTACATCAAGACAATGAAAATGGGAAATAGAGTCAACATTTGAAGAAAAAAAGAACAGAACTCGAGCAATACAAGGTAATCACTAATCATGAGCACACCGACATGGCCATAACCTAAACAGGGACCCATACAAAGCAAGAAGGAGAACAAACAAGTATTAACAAATAATTCAAGTTTAAATGCGACTTGGAGCTCATCATTCATACAAAATCATTGAACAGAGATATGTGTATATAAAAACGAATCAAAGAATAATGAGTATGATGTTACCACTTGTTCACCAAAAGAAAAAAACAAAAAAAAAAACAAAAAAAAAAAAAAAAGAAAAAGAAACAGACTAAAACAAATTAAAATCACAAAATCGAGAACCAAGCTTCAAAATCTGCCAAACAATCCAAGGTGGTGGCACTTCAAATCATCGCCAGATCTGAAAACTCGTACGAGCGAAAGAGATTAATACGAGCAGGTTTTGAATACCATGGTCCCTGGTGAAGCCAGGAGAGAGAACTGAGAACTTTAAATGCGCTCAGATTCAAATCTCCAAATCGCCAATCGTGGAGCGAGAAATAGAGAGAAAATCGCAATCGCAAATCAAATTTTGCCCAGAATGAATTCGAGCCTGATAAAGAACGAGGAGATGGAGAGAGGGAGAGTAGAAATCTCGCACTTTTGGAGCTTATAGGAGTGTGGTACGACGTTAGGCCAATTTAACACCGGAGATTTGTTTAAAAGAAATCTTAAATGCAGCGTTTTAAAAACGTTGTCTTTATATAATTGAAAAAATAGCGCAGGTAGCTGTTTTATTAACGTATGTAAAATAAACGTTGCTATATGCCCCGTTTTTCCCTGTAGTGATCCAGAAGAAATTCACACTACTGACAAACATCCTGAGAAAAATTCTCACAGTGGCCACAACCATAGAAAATCCACACAGTGGCCAAAACCCAAGAGAAAATTCAAAGTGTCAAGAAGAAAAAATCACATTTACTCAATTCCTACATGTAAGGAAAATTCACATAACTTAAATAAATATAATATATTTACAGTACCTTCATTCTCATCTCTTCCCCGTTGCACAGGCATAACTCCTTTTGATATCGTTCTTCAAAAATATTTCCATCAAGAAAAAGTATATGACCGACAACTATTTGAAACCAGCAATGGCATGCCATGAAAAGCTATAAACACTCTATTTAAAATGGCTTGTTATCTTACAAAATCTAACTCAAAAACGACTACCTGTATTGTTCTATCAATGCCTCATCAAAACTACTTGTAATTGATCGGAATGACAAACAGAATCCTCATATGTACTACGTTTGCTTTTTAACCCCAACCAAACCACATCTATAATCGATTGAGACCATATTTCTTTGTTATCTGTCATTTCGTTGCAACATCCACTGGAACGAGTTTAAAGGTTGCATTACCTCTTCAAGTACTATCAGCCCAGAAACTAAGCTGATATTCATCCCATAGCAATGTATTACTAGTACGCAACGCGCTACACCACACGTATGTTCATTGTTGCAAAGTTCTTATTGTAAAAAAACCCATTTGTTTTTTCAACTGAAGCATGTACACGCCACATACAATTCCCCTTGAATTCTCTTATATGCACATTCTGTCGTAACCCTCAGACTTGTCATTTTTAACAGTACGTAAACTGAAAGTCAACCTCAACATGCATACTTGCATAAAACAGTATAGAACTCAACCACACCCCCTCAAATATTTGTCCCAAACACTCGTAATATTACTTCCGCCAAACCAAAACTGACAATAACACCTTTTCTTGGTGAGAAACAAAACTTAGAGAGTGAATTCCTTCAAAACTCCACCAGCCTATACATTCACCATTCCCACAACATTCTGTATTTTAAGCGATCCGGGTTTACCCTGTTGTACAGTAGATCCGGACATGTGTCCGTGAACATGTTGTAGTTGATTATTACTTGTTCACATCCTTCTTAATTTTGATATTTGGAGTATAGGATGTTTTTGGGCAGGTAGTGCTTGCAAGTGGTTGAAGTCTAGAACAAACTAGTTGGCACCATGATTCTTGCCGTCCGCATCTGAGCGGGGCTTTTGGCGCTCGAGCGGGGAAACACACCCTTCCATATTTTCTGTGCGATTTGGACGATCGAGCGTTGGATTGGTACGCTCGAGCGGGAGTGTTGTGTGGACCGCCTCGAGCGGGGGAAGTTGGCGTCGAGCGTGAGGCACTGGTTCTGTAAAAGTGCTGGAGTGTGTATCGGGAGCTCGAGCGTGCTGAGTTTGGTACGCATCGAATGCTGGAGTCGTGTGTAAGTGACGCCTCGAGCGGGCGGTCTGGCGCCTCGACGCGGAGAGACTTTTATAATAATCCGGATCGACTTTTGGATCACTTTTCAAGATCTTATTCATCTACTCTTAATTCTCCAAAAAGTCATTTTCAAAGCTTACTCACTTCTTAAACCGACCCTCTCTGCTTAGATTTGATTCTTCAGTAGGGGTTGTTTGCTCGCCGTTAGTCTTCACGAAGTTTGTTTCTGATCGTCGAGGCGGCATTCATTTTAATCTGAAAATCACGGGTTTTGGTAGGCACGTTGGTTTTGTGTCGTTCTTCCTTTTGAACTCCGAATTTGATGGTAGGGATACCTACTCCTCTCTATGGGTTTTGTCTTTTTAAATTTTGGATTTTGAGATGTGGGCTTGTGTTTGGAATCTCTGGTAAAAGGTTTGGGGCTGTTTTGTGCTAATTTTACAAGGTTGGGGTTATTACTTCCAATAGATAAACTAGATGCATGTTTGCATAGAATAAATGGAAGATTGTTGAATCATGATTGAAAATGGGACCTAAGGGTTGAAAGAGAATTATGGGCCTCAATTACATTGTTTAATTAATTGAGATAATAATTGGTGAGAAATGAGGAAAGAAATGTTGAGTATGATATCCATTTGTGCATTTTATTCTTGATTTTTAGAAATAACTGCTTTGGCTAATCGGTGAGAGATAGTCCGAGATTGTTGTTAGACATGCATTTGATGATAGGTAAACGGGAAACTAATCAATGGAATGTGTCTTGGAACTTGACGATTGATGAAATAACATTAATGTGCTGTATTGTGGGATTGTAGATAAGACCAAGTGTTTATATACGTATGTGTTTAGAGGAGGAGATAGGGGATGTTTACTCCGCGTTTAGGGAAGAATAGGGATGCTACCTCTAAACGGAATAGGTATTTGGAGGAGATAGGGGATTGTACTCCGTAACAGAGCAGTCATATGCATTGTCTTAGAGAGTGAAGAAGAGTTCATATGCTGTATCTTTGTGGAAAGTGTGGATACCAGCTTGTATGCTTATCTGTGGATATGTAGTATACAATCTGTTGTAGAGTGTGGATACAGCTCTGTATGCTATATCTGTGGGGATATTGTATGTGAATATACATATCTGTTAGACATGCTGGATATAGCTTTTATGCTTTATCCTGCTGAGATATCAGTTTTTTACATATCTGTGGAAATGATGATAGAGCTAGCATGCTTATCTGTTTGAAAAAGGGAAACATTGAAAGGTAATTGGAC